ATCAAGATATCCAATTTCCATATCACAGAATTTGATTAAGTCTTCAAGCATCAAACCACTTAAATAAATATCACAACTTTATTGGAAATCTCAAGAACTCGGTTTTAACAATATTTCTAAAAAGAAACAAGTGTTTAAGAGTTCCCCTTTTTGATGATGACAAACAAGTGTTTAAGAGTTCCGGTCGCTGTACTGAGAACTAATTTTATAACTTTCTTTTAGTTTCTCATAATATATAGCTTGTTAACAAAAACTCTTAAACAAATACAATTCAGATTACAATAATTCCTAAACCAAGTCTTGTCTTGAGATTTGTGATATTTTCTGCCATTTGCCGCTTTCACTTCCAGCAGATTTTGCTTGGTAGTACAGATGGCGGTGCGTTTGATAGATCTTTAATATCCAAAGTGGATATCTGAGATCTAGGAACCAACATCTCTCCAAAAAGCAAAAACAAGAACAAAAAGAAAGTGGAGGGAAAGGAGGTGGCGGTGGAAGAAAAGAAAAAGGCAGAACGACAAGAAAAAGGTTTTGGAAAAGAGAATTTATTGTAAAAAAATAAAATAAGGTTTAAAAAAAAAATTAAGAAAGTAAATTAAAGAAAATGCTTGGGTAAAGGGTGCAGAGACTGACAAATAAAAGAAAGAGAGAAAATTTTTAAAAAGAATTAGAAGAAACAAAGATGGAGAGAGTGTTGTTGAAACACGGGCATGTCACGTTTTCGTACTAAAGCCGTGTTTGTTTTTATGACAGGTTTTGATAATGCCAAACCACCGTGATCAAGTCAAACTTTGAATATACAAGGCGAAGAAGGAAGACAAGAACAAGAGCTAAAAGAAGACCAAGAAAGAAGACCTTAGTCTTAGTTGAGTCGGTCTTCATTGTGATCAAGACCGACCCAATCTTTACACCTTGGCTCTTTAGGCTAAAGACCTTCATTGCACTTCTTAAATCATAAAAATGTTTTTCAAACATGTTTAAGTCATTAAAAACACTTGGTGTTCGCCCAAACCAAAAACCAAGCCATCCGGCGTTCGGGTTTCAGAAACTGGCGTTCGGCTCTCGGTCATCGGCTATGGTTTTTGGC